CGTTGTAACTATACTGAGATCTTAGAACTTATATCTCAAGGTGGGTGGCGCATTTACGTTGTGGATGTCTATAGGCTCCAGTAACCACTTAACACCAGGTGGGCTGTGAGCTCGTCTACCCATCTAAGCAATAAATAAAAAAATAAAAAAAAGCGACGGGTAACTACGCTCATTTAGAAATTTCAGCAGAGTCAAACTGGGAGGAGCCAAAGTCAAAATAACGGGGAGCGAACATACAACTTAGGAGTGAGACAGGGTGATCCTTGGTCACCTAAACTTTTTATAGCAATACTACAACTTATTTTGAAAATCTACCACTATCGAACAACTATGCTTTTGTTGCATTTTTTACAAACGAAATGTTCCAAACTTATCCTATCACGATTCCGGATATTTACCGTTTTTCAATGTTGTCGGTTAACGTAATAAAACCTATAAATATTTTAATGTTTATTAAAAATGCGTGACTGTTTGTTATTATTATTGTTTCATCGGCTCTCTACACGGGCAAACGATTACGTCACGCGCAATTTACCGCTCAATTGGCGGCCATCTTTCTATTTAATTAACCTCTGTACGAGTATTTGGACTTTCGCTTTCAAACGCTACCTTCTCTCAACTAATCACGCAATCAAACATAAAATAATTGGTTTGCTTGTGCAAATGATTTCTGAAGGTAACGATACAAAAATGAAACAAATCTAAATAATTATATAATATAAACTTTTACTTTACTTGAGTAATATAAATGTTTTATTTTAGTTTATGTTTTTTTTTAAATACCCTATTATGAATCGACGAGTTATCTTCATAACCTAACTAGAAATCGTGTAGTCGATGGTATAAGTAACCCAGATCGAAATAGCAATGTAATAAAACAATTTGATGCACTAAATGTGTGTCACATAGAGCTCCACCTGCATTTACAATTAAATCACTTTTAAGATCATGTTACTGGCATAGAACAAAGAAGGTAGACGTGCAATTACACATTACAGTCCAATTGCATCCGATGCCACTACAACTTTCACCTGATACGCTATTTAAAAAAAAAATTGCCCTTGTAGATAGACGAGTATACGGCCCACCTGATGATTAGTGGTTACCGTGGCCCATGGACTTCAGCAATGCCAGAGGCAGAACCAAGTCGCTGCCTACCGCCTACCTATAGTCTCAAGGTGGGCATATTACACGTTCATACCTATGGGCTCCGGTGACCCGCATCAAATAAGCAGTAAGCCGCCTGCCCAACTAAAAAAAATACACTTCTTTATTACGCTATTCGAATTATACTATACGTAATTTGAATTTGGTAGTGTTTTAGTAAAAAAACTTATACTTGACGATTTGTAAGCGTGAGCATACGTCCCTAAGCAACTTATTTCGGCCCGGAAGAAGAATTTGAAGGCATTCTGGATGATACTGTTGCTGTCGAGAATTACTGCGATGTTTAATTCTATTCTGTATTGCATCGATGGGTCAACGAACTCCTGGTCATCTGGTGTGAGCTATGAAGTAGTTAGAGAAGCCACATCTTGAGATATAATAACGCAGTCTCAATTGTTTTGAATAGCTGCTGCCTCGTCCTTCAAACTGGAACATATGACTGTTTCGTGACAGAAACACCGGTACCTGCCCCTGTAGGCTTTCTATACCACAGAAAGTTCAATGATCAGTAATTACGCGTATTAATAAATTTAACGGTTTTGATTTTACGCACACAATTTCGCTAGTGTCAGACAAAAGGAAACGTCACGTCTTTTTAATAATTCGTTCTTTGAAACGGAGGGCGGAGGAGTCTCGCTGGCAGCGTGTTCGATGTTTTTTTCATACGACGGCTAATGGTGTTTACTTTGAAGCTGGTTGCAATTCGAGACAGTTTTATTGTGAGGCGCGCGCAAACAGACTTAGCGTCACTTTGTCTTGCCGCCCGCTAGCATTCACGACGATCGGACTCGATTCGTAATCCTTTACATTTTATAAAGACCAATAAGCATCTTCGCCGTCGAGACATAAATTAGAATAGTAATTAATTGTAAAAGATTGTCGCGAACACCACAATTTCAAAGGAGAATAAGACGCGACACTGATACGGGAATTCACAAAAAAAAACATGTCACATTCTTCATAATTGAAGGAGCAGAAAATATTGAAAATTACTTTTTTTTAAACGTCAGTGTGCTCAGTGCGAGTTTTTTAACGTACTCGATAGCGTAAAAGTTATGTCAAATTTGTATGCAGTTGGAACAGCGCCTCTAGCGGCAAACGTAGGCAAACTTTCCAACTGCGTACAAATTAACTTTTACGCTATCGAGAACGTTAAAAAACTCACACTAAGCACATAGTTCCGAAATCTAGTAATACCGTGTAAGTTTACAGAATATCATGCGTATCAACACAAAGTGTGCTACGAGTGCTCACGGTTGGCAACAGTTAGCTCATCTGTGAGCATACACAAAAATGCATAATACAATATAGGCTACTAAGTTTAGATCCGGCCCACGTAATGGGAATAATTGGCAATACCTACTTTGGACACATCCATAAACTCTTTTAGACATTTCCAGCAAAGGGATATCCTTAGAATCTGCCATGGCCATAGAGTATTACACCACAAATACACGCAATTTATTATTTTCATTAAATTAAGTAATCTTTAAATAATTTAATTTTTAAATAAAGCTACCTTGAGCTAATATGGTGCGAATTTCCCAAACCAGAGATTTCTATACGATACAAACTGAATTAAAATGACAATTTCTTAGAAACAACTTATAAAAAATAAGGAGATCTAAATATGAAATTAATTTATTTTTCTTAACCTTGTAGAGAATATAAGTTGTAGAGATCACGCAAAATGCACAAAAGGCTTGTAGATGCATGATATTTACAAAGACCTCCCACGTCACACGGCTTACTAAGGATGTCAACTATCTTTGTTTAAAGTAGATGAAGTATGTAAATACGTAACTATAATAGTATTAATATTAGCTTGGTATTCTATGACTAGAACCCTGCAAATCGCGTCTTACTTGTAATTTAAGATTTCGAGCAACTAAGGATTTTCATTTCAATATCCTTAGTCTTCTGTAAGTTTTCACGATTTCGGATACATCTAATTTTTTAGCAATAAACCAATCTTATGAAATCAAAAAGCTATTTTTTTATTATCTAAATCATGTCAATTAGGTTATTTGCGTTAACGAGTAATAAATTTTGGTAGTTATACCTATCATTGTTATACCTATTGAGAATCTAAACTAAGTTGTTGTTACGTATAAATGTTAACGTTTAGTACGGCTTCATCGTCTGTCATTATTCCAATAGTAACATTGAATATAAATAAAAAAATTAGCGCTTAATCTTTTGTTTTTCAATTACAAAAATAATTGCCTACTTTTAAGGTTGCTTACAGATATAATACTGTTTTATTAAATGAAGAAGCGTAGACAGAATTTTTTTATTGTCAATGTTTTTTTCCTTATATAAAATTTACTAGATTTTAAATTTCATAAAGGTATTTTAGATTTATAATAAAAAATAGTCGTTAGTATTTTAAATATACGTTAAAAAACCAAAAGTCAAACAACGCAAATATACTTCCGCAATGTAGTTAAACTATAAAAATTAAAAAGTAATAATTAATGCAGTCATGTTTTGGAGCAGTACCCACTTTGGTGCTACTTTAATAAACAAATACGGTAATTAGGTGTAACAATTCTCCCCTCTAAAATATCGGGTAACAGTATATTAGCTCAGTAACCGGACCGCGCACTTGTGAGCTGATATTGCCAAATATCAGGTTTCGCGCCAACGCTTCCAGATCCGCCATTTTGTTGACGCAAAAAAAAAAAAACGAAATGGATACCGTGACGTTTTATAGTTGGATTTTAAAGTTTACTGACTCGGTGGTGCAATAGTTAGCGACTGTTACGCTGAGGGTCGTGGGTTCGATTCCCACATCGGGCAAACAATCGTGTAAGATGAACAACTTTGTTTGCTCTTTGTCTGTGTTTTTATTATCTATATATGTACATATATATATATATATATATATGTATTTAAACGTATTTAAGTATGTATATCATCTCTGCTTTCTATAGTATAGGGAATCTTGATTTAGGGTTGGATGGCCGTGCGTGATTTTTTCCCGTTTATTATTTCTATTTGTACTTTTGTACTAATAATTTAATGTAAACATCTGTAACAACATTTAAATCGTAAAAGTAGTTTTGATTACGTTTTCAGCTCGTGAATACTGAAGAAAATTGTGTTTTTGTTTATTGACTAATAAAAATATTATGCTGGAATCCAACAATTTTAATGCTAAGTTATTGGGTAAGATATTGGGTTTAAATCTTGTACCTACTCATTCCAAAGCTGATACGTTTTATAACATTACACTTTATTATCGAAAACGCAAAACATGCAACAGCCGCATTTTTACTTAGGTAGGACCTCCTGTCAGTCCGCACGAGTAGGTACCACCACCTTGCCTATTTCTGCCGTGAAGCAGTAATGCGTTTCGGTTTGAAGGGTGGGGCAGCCGTTGTAACTATATTGAGACCTTGGAACTTATATCTCAAGGTGGGTGGCGCATTTACGTTGTAGATGTCTATAGGCTCCAGTAACCACTTTACTTACACTACGTGGGCTGTGAGCTCGTCCACCCATGTAAGCAATAAAAAAAAATTGTCCTAGAGCGATATTTATGCCCGAAGCTGGCATTCATTCCGTTCTTGTCTATGGACTCTGATAAACACATAGCAATATAATGTAATTGATGTTTAGATCTTGTTTCTCAAGATGGACAACAACATAGGCGCTACGGTACACATTGACTCCGGTAGCGTCTCAATACTAGATAGACCTTGGGCTTGTTTGCAAAGTTTATGAGATAGTGTATTTGTGCATTTCATCCTTACAGTTCACAAGTGCTTTGTGACTCAAAGAAAATACCCTGAAAAGCATATTAGAAAAATACGAATTCGCCGACTCACTGGCAAACCTGGGGTCGTTGGAAGCTGGATACCAGCCAGCCCCTCGCATGTCTCCGTAGTGGGGCAGGTCCGTGGGTGCACACCCATAGCCCTGGACCGGGGCGCCCCCATACAGGGGCACCGCGTAAGGGTTCGCCGTCATCCCGCAGGATGCGGCGGGACCGAGGGGAGAATTAATACTGCTGCCTGAAGAATTCGACCTGGAAACAAAACACTCTATTAGATGCAAGATAATGTTAACCACCGAACATAACTAAGCTTACAATTTTCTTTATGCTTGGTCTACTTCAGGCAAGTAAATATATTCAAAATATTATACACGGAAATAACTAATAATTTATAGACTAATCTATAGAATAATACCTATTGAATACTCTATATAAAGGTGAGTAAGGGCTTTCCTCTGCCTACCGCCTTATGCCTACGATAGTATTCCCGAGGGTTGATATGAGGTCGTCAAACTCATGCCAAATCCCTATGCAGCATTATAAGAGAACATACTGCGCCAACTCCACGTAACGTGAGATAAGGACAAGAGAAGAAGAAAGCATAGCAATTGCAATTTAATCTCTATATATCAAAATGAATTGCTGTTCGTTAGTCTCGCTAAAACTCGAGAACGGCTGAGCCGATTTAGCTAATTTTGGTCTTGAATTATTTGTGGAAGTCCAGAGAAGGTTTAAGAGGTAGATAAATATGAAAATGCTCGGAATTAAATAAAAATAACAATTTTGTTTTTCCATTGATGTGTCCCCGTCGGACCGAATCCTTTGTTTGTTTTATGTTTATTTTATACAAAAGTTTAGGTCTTTTATTTATCGATTGAGGCACTACGAAGTCTGCCGGGTCAGCTAGTTTAAAATAAAATAATAAACATAATCAGTTACAAAAAACATAAGAATAATGATTTATGCTGATTGAATATCCGATATCACATCGAAAAATCAAAAATTCAAAAGGTAATTAATAACTTTTTTCAGTTAAGGACACCGGTAGATAAGTTAATGGTACCGATGCAAACAATAGACAATACCATTCCATTGCCTCGTCACCGAAAAATATATTTAGGAAGAGTGAATCCGGTGTATAAAAATATAATTTGCATCAAGAATTAAAATAATCACAGCAATAGTGTACCCGGCTTATCTTCGAACTACTAGTAGGTAATCAGATTATAAATACAATACCACAGATAATTTTCTCACAAAACTGTTTTTGACCCAAATCTACCACACGCAGTACTGCAATGTCATTCGGCAGGCGCCAAACCATTCAAACAATACTTGGCTTAGCTACCTAATCCCTATTTACACAATTTAATCTCCTGCCCTTCATCAAAAGCTTTGTAAATACAAAATTCAACCTTATAAACTGAGGTTTAAAGCTTAAATTTGTAATTTTAACGAAAGTATGTACATCCCTAACGCCGACATTACTTTGTTTGGTTTGACAAATTGAGTTTTGACAGAGCGGGAGAATTTAGCGCGAAAACGCTTTGGCTTTTAGTTCAGTAATTATATTATTATTATTATTCTTTAAATTCAATTAACCTAGACATTAAAATTGCTACACAATTTTTAATTGAGTTAAATATTTATAGCATTTTTTTTTAAATGTACAGATTTTAATGTACTAATATTTTTTTAATATCAATCGATAAAAAGAACAAAGTTGTCTGCCCTAACAAGAAAATAAATATCTATAGAAGAGCAATACGTTTTATTCATAGACAGACAATTCTTTTTTTTTTTTCATTACAAAAAGAGCTCAGTCAGGGCTCCACAATAAACATTCTACCCGAGCTTCGTAATTAAATTATTACGAGGGAATTTTAATTTGATCATAGCTTGTTAGCTTTACGTTAAAATTGAATTGTTTTTGTTGTTAATTTTATATTTGCCTACCTGTCTACTGATAGCTGGGCATAATCTATGAAATCATCGGTCGCCTTCACGTCATAGGCTGTCCGATGTGCCCTGCGAACGAAACAATCCGTTTTTAAAAATTCTAAAATTATTTTTGTGTATGTATAGATAACAAATTCGCGCCAAAACATTGTTTTTTTTTTATTGTTATACAACTTCGTTATAACTTTATCAGATTAAGCTTTCTGAAGATTGGATTCGTTTTTTGCTTTATTCATAATAATATCATTTTGGAGTCTCATTTGGAAGGTACATCGTGAAATTAGATTTAAACATAAATACTTAGCTAGCTTTTACCTAAAATAGCAGTTCATTTTGGGCCTGAAAATTTACGCTGCATCAACAGTAATACTTTGTATAGTAGATACATAATGTAAGAAGAGACTGAGAGCTTTATAAATTTATTAGAATATCCTATTTGAGATATTAATTAATTATCTAGGCAAATATTTTTTATTTATTGCTTAGATGTCTGGACGAGCTCACGGCCCACCTAATATTAAGTGGTTATCTGAGCGTATAGACATCTACAACGTAAATGCTGCCATCCATTTTGAGATATGAGTTCAAAGGTCTCAGTTTAAAATAGTTACAGCGGCTGCCCCACCCTTCAGACCGAAACGCATTTCTGCTTCACGACAAAAATAGGCGGGACGGTGGCACCTACCCGTGCGGACTCACAAGACGTCCTACCAGTAAAAATTACCTACTAAAATTTCGTTTGTATAATAATAGGTTAGGTGAGTACTATGATTAGTAGCGATGAGTTATAGGACCGTTGAAAGCTCGTAGACCCATCCCTTGATATTTTGAGAAATCAATAGTATTCAGATCGATACAAAATTACTATGGTGTTCATTTTAGAAATATAAAATAAAAATTTTAGTGTTTTTCTCATACGTGCAATAGATTTTTATTAAGTATTAGTGGACGAATAAAAACACAATCGCTGAACGTGGCTTTTTGGGCTATTCCCAAAATTCCTTTGAACTCTTAACAAATTCCCAACCTTCACCAAAAGGTTATTTATAATGCCATTTTATTGAAATAAAAAAAAAATTGGAAGGATTACTGGTGGCCTGGAGGCCTTTCTAGTTTCACCAAGGCAGGTGGGTGAACACAGGCTCAGCCAGGAGGATCATTTCATTTCATTCCTCTGTTCATTTATATGAAACATAGATGAGAATTTGGCTCAAAAGACCAGATCATTAAAAAAAAAACAAAAAAAAAAACGAGTCGAATTAAATGCACGTCTGCGTTAAATGCGCGAAAAACTCGATGAGATTAATAATGGTTCGTGACTGATTCTAACTCAAATCAAGTCAACTATTATAGAAACTAATCAAGAATCGAAATGTTTTTACAATAAGAAGAATGAGTTTGATTCAGAATGAGTATATCAGAGGAAGTGTGAAAGTAGCCCCGGTAATCTACAAATTAAAGAGCGGACACGGTTAGCGTAGTATGGACATGTGATGCGTAGAGAGAAGATGCATGTGACTAGGAGATGTATGGAAATTGTAGTGCAAGGTAGAGGGGGAAGATGTTGGCTGAAGAAGACATGGATGGAGTGTGCGAATGAAGATACGAGAGAGAGAGGAGTGAGCGTTGAGACGACGGCTGTTAGAAGAGAATGGAAGAGAAAAATTAGCTGTGCCGACCTCACCTACTGGGATAAGATGAAGAAAAAGAAGAAGAATCGGAAGAATCAATTTGTATAGATCGGACTTATCCATCCACAGATCATAAAAACCTATGATCTGTGTATCCATCCCTATCAACTATCAAAAGCTAGCGATCTAGCCTATGGCATAAATACTAGAGAAAGGCATCATGAATGATGTTTGTATCATCCACTTGCCAGTTTCTACAGCTAATCAAACATATGTGCCTACTTAGGGACACGGTAGCAATGTGTGACCTCAAACTTTGTCCACTTTCACGTCCAGTAACATTGACATGATTTTTTCTTTTATATTTTTGTAAGGTACTGCACCGTCCTCGTAAGAATATCACGTCATTTCGGATCCTCCTGATCCACTAACGATGCTTTTAGGTACCTCAAGTACCGTTCATCATTTTCGTAGAGCCCATCACTTTCGACGAAGGGCTCGGCAAGTGAATTAACCCACAGACACAGCCCACTGAGTTTCTCGCCGGATCTTCTCAGTGCGACGCGTTTCCGATCGGGTGGTAGATTCTGCGAAGCACTGCCCTTGGTAGGGTTAGTGTTAGCAACGTCGTCAGGTTTGAGCCCCGTAAGCTCACCTACTTGTTAAGTTACGCTGGCATAGCCTCTCAAGGCTATCAGGTTAGGTAGCGAAAAAATAATTAGGAATATGAGTCCTTTGAGAAAATTGAGTCCTTATGTGACGATGTTTACTCAGACTTATATAAAAAATAAAAATAAAACGTTTACCGCAAATAGCAAGAAGATACAACCATCAACAACCTAACACCGACGTGAATTAATTGGAAATTGCTCGATACCTACTCAGTCTCTCTCGGCTCGTGCGATAATTTAAGCATTATGTCGGCTATTTTTAGGGTATTGAATTCATTTCACAATTTTATTGCTATTCGTTTACCTAGTACCTACGTACTTACTGGTGGTAGGACCTCTAATGAGTCCGCGCGGGTAGGTACCACGGCCTTGCCTATTTCTGCCGTGAAGCAGTAATGCGTTTCGGTTAGAAGGGTTCCAATTATATATGTATGCCAGATATGTTTAACTTCAATATTGATGTTTGAATCAATTACTCAGTTTCCCACATTAAGCGAAATTTAAGCAAAACGGATAAGTAAATATTCAACCGGTAATCTAGAGTTCTAATATGAATCGTAGTAACTATTGTTTAAGCCATTCAAAATGATATCGAGGGGTGAAATACTGTTTGGCTTAAGCGACATTTCCTAAACTTTACAGAAGAGCCATTTAAAGTATAAAATTTGGAAAAAATATCATAAAAAAAAACTTCTTAAGCTATATGAACGGTGTTCAACGGAACCACCACCCTGTCTATTTCTGTCGTGAAGCAGAAATGCGTTTCGGTTTGAAGGGCGAGGCAGCCGTTGTAACTATACTTAGATCTTAGAACTTATATCTCAAGGTGGGTGGCGCATTTACGTCGTAGATGTCTATGGGATCCAGTAACCACTTAACACCAGGTGGGCTGTGAGCTGGTCCACCCATCTAAGCAATAAAATAAAAAAACCAAAAAAAAATCGGATTGTTGATGCTAATAGCAAATAAAACGGAACTTTAATCTCTTTATATAAAAATGAATTGCTGTTCGTTAGTCTCGCTAAAACTCGAGAACGGCTGGACCGATTTGGTAATTTTGGTCTTGAATTATTTGTGGAAGTCCAGAGAAGGTTTAAAAGGTGGATAAATATGAAAATGCTCGGAATTAAATAAAAATAACAATTTTGTTTTCCCTTTGATGTGTCCCCCATCGGACGGATTCCTTTTGTTTGTCGTGTATTTATCTATTGAGGCACTACGAAGTTTGCCGGGTCAGCTAGTTATAAAGATAAATACCGCGTATTATGCAAAATGTCGCGCTTAAATTAAATAGTCTTTCACCCCTCGATATATTAATGATATCTATTAGAAAACTTTTATAAATACCTACAAGTAAATATCCAAGAACGATAATAATTTAATTTACGGAACGTCGGTCGACAGAACGAACAAACCAAATCGTTGAAAAATTATCCCTTTGCTTTAAAAATAATTAAAGTCTCGAGTCCCATAGATTATATCATTCCAATTTAAAATGTGTAGAGACTTTTTGGCGGGAACGCGAGGTGTCAAGTTGTGCGATTTGTTTTATTTTGTCTATTTAGTGTTTCTTCAGGTCTAAATGTGTAATAACGGTGCTTTATTAACTATTTAGTATCTGTGAAAGTGCACAAATGTGGGAAAATGAAACAAAGCCGTTGAGATCCTCCAAAAATTCCACTGAAAAAATCTCAGTAAACGACCACCATTTTACTACTGAGATTATATTTCATCCCATATCATCTCATCTCATTTCATTTAATTTCATCCCAGTTGATTAATATCTCAAATTCTTCATTTAATTTCATTGCCTTTACATTTGGAAAAATAAAACTACTGCTACTACTTAAAATGTGTATAAAATGGCCGGCCTTACTCATAACGTATTCATGTATTTTTAATAGTGAAGGCAAGTGTAGTTTGTTTACACGTATGCTAATTTTTTTTATATTTAACAAGCGAAACTGGTAAATTTAAGTTGAAGGTGTCTCTTGGACAGCCACTTGAGGTTACTCAAACACTTTGCTTGTGTTTTTAGGAGAGAAAAAAAGAACAAATCACCTATTACAAAACTACGTCATTTTAGTTGGCGTTCCCGTTGATTTCCGTCTAAATCAAGGGTAGCAGGTTCGAGAGTGAACACTGACCACTATGTTTTAAACATAATTTTTCGTGTTTAATAGTTTTAGTGTACGAAAACTTTTTACTTTGCCAAGAATCACATATTGGATCTCAATCCACATTTGGCTGTTGTCTTGTTATTTCATTTTTAGTCTTTTTTTTAGCTGCCCATGTAAGTGGACGACAACAATGCCGGCGGCACAGCCAAGTTGCCACAGATTTTAGTTATTAGTTACTACTGCTGAGTACTCTTCGTAAACCTCGTTTGAAGAAGGACATGATAGTTTTAATAATAGTAACCGATTCTCTACTAAAACCGATAGTCATACGAAATGCTATAAAACAATTTTGAAATGAACGAAAACCTAGTCCAGTGTGCTTAGTGCGAGTTCTCGATGGCGTAAAAGTTACCTCAAATTGGAGTTGGAACGTTCGCCTACGTTTGCCGCTATCGGCACTTTTCTAATTGCTAAAAAATTATAGTAAACTTTTACGCTGTTGAGAGCTTAAAAAAACGCGCACTAAGCACACAGTCAACATAAGCCAGATCTCACCACGATTTGTCTAATTGTTAAGGTAAGTTGATCTACGTAATTAATCATTATCTCATTGAGATTTTTCGATCAGCCTAGATGGAACAAGTACC